TTATTAGGATGTTAGAATTGGAAAGGCCCTTCAAGTCCATCCACTTTATGGATAAGTACTATTGATTGAGGGCTCTCTGTGCCATGACCTGGTGCTTACTGTGCATTATCTTGCTCAGTATTCACAACATCCCTGTGTAATCGGTACTCTGATTACCCCATTGTACAGGGTGAAGAGAGAAGACAGAGATATGTCCAAGACACAGACACAAGCCATTCTTAACCATTCTGGGGAGTGGTGGGTGTTGCCTCCTTAGCCACTGCAGGTGCCCAGTTGCCCTGTCCAGAGGCACAGGGCTCTGTATTTAAAGAACTCTTGGGAGGGCATCTGTTCATCCATTCCACTTTGTTGCAAACATTTTTAACTTGGAAACTAGAAAACATTCTGGATCCCCACCTGAAAACTTGAGAAAGCTATTACCTCTGCTGTCCCTTCTTGGCAGTCTGGAATGGTCCAAAGTGGCCACAACCCCACGGCCTGGTTTCTTTAGGCTGTTGCTGCCCAGGAAATAGGATGGGCTTGTCAGCAAGAAGTTTTCCTGGAAACAAATCTAGATTCATGCTCACCCAGCTGCAACCTTGAACGACAAGGCCAGGCACATTCTGGCAGAAGAGTAGCCTATACACCTCTAACAGTAGTAATGCAGGTGTGATCCATAAGGCTGTCATGGGCTGTTTTCATTGGATGTATCTGGCCTGAGCTATGGTCTTTTCAGTCACCTCATATGCATGTGAAAGTTGGATAATGAATATGAAGGCAGGAAGAAGATTGATGTGTTCAAGTAATAGCATTGGCAAGGAATACTGGCTATACCACAAAGTGCCAAAACAATGAACAAATCAGTCTTAGAAGAAGTACAACCAGAATGTTCCTTAGAAGTGTGGGTGGCAAATCTGTGACTTGCTTCAAACACTCCATCAATAAAGACCAAACTCCAGTAAAGAACATCATATTTGACAGAGGGCTAACAAAAATGAGATAAACCCGCCACGTGACACAATAGTGACAACAGTGGACTCCAACATACCAAGGAGCATAAAGATGGCACAGGACTGGCAATGTTTTGTTCTGTTATATGTAAGGTCACCATGAGTCAGAGGCAACTTGATAGCAACATTGTAGGTATGAGATCTACTGCTCCTTTGATGTCTAGCTTTCTTCCTCACATGCAGGTTCTTAACCTTTAGGCCCTCTGTGAGCTCAGATTATAAAATGGTGCTGGTTGCTTGTATAATACTGGTTCCCAAAGTATTACCCCCAGGCTTCTGGACCAGACGGTCAGGTCTGAGCCAGCATTCTGTTTGACAAGTGCTCTGTGATGCTGATGCGGGCTAAAGCTTGAGAATTAGTGATGTAGAGAACATGGAAGAACATTCCTTTACTGAAATTCCTTCACAGAGAGCTTTGGGAGAGGGTCTGTCAGAAATTTCTGGGCACAGGCAGAAGTGATGGGCACAGTTTTGGGGCCTCACAGTCAGCAAGGGCAGAGGGCTAGGGCACATACTGTGTGTCTGTACCACTCCACACCCCATCCAGCGTTGGCTTGATGTCTATGACATACGGTGTTGGAGACACACAGTGGCAACTCAGGCAGCTAAAGAAGCCCAGCACCAGGACCAACTGAGGCACGGTCAGGGGAAACAGGAGAGGATGGGACTGTGGCCATCAGGCCATACAAGAGGTGGCAGCTCAGGGAAGTCTGCATGCTCTAACCTCAGCCCAGCGCACCTGTGCAGGTGTGAGGCAGACAGACCAGGAGGGTACCGTCATGGAGGGAGCTGGGAGCTGGTGGCACGTGGTCTTGAGCTTCACATGCAGAGAAAGCTGCTCTTCACAGCCTCTCTCAGCCACCTTGCAGGTCAGGCCCACAGATAGCTCTGCCCAGTCCACCAGCCCCTCAAGCTCTTTGGCCCAAGTGCAGGCTGCTTCCATCTGTGGGCTGGTCCTCCATCATGCTGCAGCTACCGGACGTGCCCTACTCCTGCCTGTCTGGGCACTCACTGCCTCCTCCTCAGACTTTCTCACCAGGGATGAAATTAATGGGGTTGTTGTAATCTGATCAGTCCTTCTGGCAGCAGCTGTATTTACAGCAGGAAAATAAACATTCACTCTTTGTGTAATACTTAAAATGGGCCCTTATTCCAGTGACCCTGTGACCCTGTGCCTGCACACAAAAGCTGACCCTGGTCCCTCCTCTCAGAAGTAAGCCCAGGTAGAGGGAGGGCAGCCTGGACACCGCACACTCCCCCACAATGGGTGTGAGTTGGGCTCCCCATGAGAGTCATCTGAGCACACTTCCTTGGCAATACACCCACCAGGGAGATGCCCACCAAAAATGGAAAGCTGAGTTTACACCCTTAAGCAGTTTCAAGGTGTGTCTTATTCTAAATTAGCTACCCCCTGTGCTCCTCACAGGAGCTGTAGTCACCCAGTAGTTAAGGCATTCGGCTGTTAACCAAAAGGTTGGCAGTTCAAACCCATCAACTGCTCTGTGGGAGAAAGATGATGCAATCTGCTTCTGTAAAGATCTCCAGCCTTGAAAACCCTATGGGACAGTTCTACTCTGTCACGTAGGGTTGCTATGAGTCAGAGTCAACTCGATGCCAGTGGGTTTTGGTTTTTGGTGCTCCTCACTCTTGGAAAAATAGTCAAGGCAGCTGTGCCAGATGTGGTAAGAAAAGTTTATTCCCAGTTTTCGATCCGAGAATGTGGATGGGTATCAGGAAAGGTCTACCACGTGAACTCTCACCCTACCTTCTCCCTGAAAACTCTTCTTCCTGTTCTGTCCCTTGCCCACGTGTTGGTCACTTCACTCAATCTGGTGGAACACAGTGCCACCAGGATTTCCTCAGGAGGAAGCTGTGCATGCCTAGCAACACTGCCCTGCTCAGAATGTCTCGGGTGCTCTCAGCCACTTCTTTGGCAGTGTTTTTTGCGCTGCCTGCAAGGCGGGTTCCCTGAGTGATGAGAGGCAGCCTGTGTGTGAAGGATCCTACCCTGACCCCATCCACCCCACTAATCACAGACTGGGGATTGTGCTCTGTGGTTATACCCCGTCGCCCTCTAAGAATGAGCTCTGTTCCTGAAGCCTCCAGAAGTTACTCGGGGCCCATCTTCAAGTTGGGTGAAGCCATGTTTGAGCAAAAGTAGTCATAGGAATTGCTTTCTGCTGTGGCTCTGAAATGCTTTAAGCTCTGACAATAATAAAGGAAGTGTGACTGTCCAAGGACCACGGACATAGTTCAAAACCCACAAGAGTGCAGTGAGTGAGGGGAGGAGTGTCTCAAGAAACCTCATTCCTTGGTGTCTGAAAACTTCTCCCCAGCAGCAGGTACCCCATCTAAAGGAGACTACCAGCCAGAGCTGTGGGGTGGGCCAGCACCTCAGTGACCAAAGGGTCCCAGACTAGGTCTGCTAAGTGAATAAAGAAATCTCTATGAAAGTGGACCCCAGCCCCTCACTCTCAGTACCTTTAATTGTGAAATGGGATCAATAAGGGATCTGTCAACACTCATGGAAGCAGCAGTCTAGAAATCAAATGACATGTTGCATTGGGCAAATCTGAGGCAAAAGACCTCTTTAGAGTGTTAAAAAGCAAAGATGGCACTTTGAGGACTAAGGTGCACCTGATCATGCCATGATATGTTTAGTGGCTTCACGTGCATGTTAGAGCTGGACAGTGAACAAAGACCACAGAAGAATCGATGCCTTTGAGTTATGGTGTTGGTGAAAAATACTGAAAATACCATGGGATGCCATAAGAATTAGTAAATTTGTCTTGGAAGAAGTATAGCTAGAATGTTCCTTCGAAGCAAGAATAGTGAGATTTCATCTCACGTACTTGTTATGTGTTCTCAGAAGGGACCAGTCCCTAGAGGACATCATGCTTGGTGAAGTTGAGGGTCAGTGAAAGGGGGAAGACCCTCAGTGAGATGGATTGACGCAGTGGGTGCAACAATGGGCTCAAGCACAGGACTGATTGTGAGGATGGCACAGGACTGGGCAGTGTTTCATTCTGTTGCAGATGGGTCACTATGAGTCAGAACTGACTCGATGGCATTTAACAGCAAAAACAAAGGGATTTAAGCTCAGGGACTTGGCTCCAAAGCCCATGTTATTTTCACTAGACAAGCTGTTATGCTGGCAGGCTACCCTCTCCCTGCGTCATCTGGCCGTGCATGTGCGGTGGGGCCAGGAACACCTTGGCACACAGGGCAAGGAGCACCAGTTTTCACATCAAGATTTTAGATTCCTGCTTTAAGTTCTGAGCCCCTACCAAAACGTGCCACATAACAGACACTTCCTTTAGATGGAAATGTATGTGAACTCTAATAAATCTGGGCTAGAGAATTGGATGATGGCCCTTGAGATGAAGAGACCACTTGGCCCAGAGTCTTCCCCTGCACCCTGGCCTTTGGGTTGGTACAGCTGGTATATGTCGAGGGGTAGGGTTCCTGGCTATCTATCACCCTCTGCATTCATGAACTCTGAAGGTTAGTATGAAGGGTGTAACCCCTCTACTTATATGGATGGAGGTCATTGTCTTCCTGGAGAGCTAATCCCCTGGGGTGAGCCCCCTGGGAGTGTCTGCAGCCTAACCTGGGTGTCAAGCACCATGTTGGTGGCGATAAGGTTGGGGAAAAAAATGTAGGTGCTAGTGCTGCCCTTACTGTGCTTAAGGCACACAACACACCACAAAACACACTTCAGTCTGGTCACTTTTCAGAAAAGTTTCTGCTACTCCTCCCTTCTCCACAGGTACATTCTTTGTTCATAGTTACCTGCCTGCTTGTCTGTGCCTGCACCTGGCAGGGGCTAGGTTTTCTTATGCCTGTGCCAAGCAGCAATAGGGCCCAATACAACTCTCAGAACGTGATCAGCATGGGGCCACTACCACACACAGGGCCTTTTGGGGTGGGGGGAAGTTATCCATGGGGAGGGGTGGGTCCCACAGCTTCCTTGGCCGCCTGCTTGCTGAGAGCTTGTGTTTTCTCCTGCAGGAATGGTTTTCCAAAGCAGACGGCAGCTCAGCTGATTCTGAAGGCCATCTCCAGTTACTTCGTGTCAACAATGGCCTCTTCAATCAAAACAGTGTATTTCGTGCTTTTTGACAGTGAGAGTATAGGCATCTATGTACAAGAAATGGCCAAGCTGGATGCCAACTAGGCTGAGGAACTACAGAAGCAGCTCCCACCATGTCCCCCGCCTCCAATTTGAAAGAAAGAAGAGAAAAAGGCAAAAAAGAAAAAAAAAAAAAAATCCCCTTCACTCCTATTGGGAGGCGGGAACCCTTTCATTTTCAATTTTGCTCATCTAGGGAAAACAAGGTTTTGGTTTTCAGTTTAATTGTTTTTGACCTTTTAAAATGTTTTTACGTTAGCACTGATAGTTGGCATTACTGTTGTTAAGCACTGTGTTCCAGACCGTGTCTGACTTTAGTGTAACCTAGGAGAGTTTATAGTTTTATTTTAATGAAACCCTCATTGGCACGGAGCAGTGGGAAAAAGCAGTGTCTCTCACATGTGGCAGAATCCAGGAAGCTCCATTTTGTAACCGTATGTTGTGGTGCTTTATTGTACACCCAGTGGCATTCTTTTTACTATAATGTTCTTTTTTTTTTTTTCTTTTCGTCAATAAGAAAAGAAAAATCATGAATTTGCAACAGACCTATTTTTTTTGTTTACTTACCGAATAATGATGGATTTGAAAATGAAAGATTTAAAAGGCAGAACAGAACCTGTTGTCCTTAATTATATTTGCAATTTGGAATTTGTGTGAATTGATTTAGTAAAATGTTAAGCTGTTATTATGACTGATGTGTTTCAAGTTATTGTGCTTGTGAGTCCTAAGTCTTGAGGCAGAAGGCTTGGGTGGGGCAGCCTACCCACTCCCAGGGGCACCACAGTGACTACTGCAGTACGGATGGGTGGTGCTGTCTTCAGTCCCCTAGTGATTTGTATAAGGAGTTCATGAAGTCTCTCCTTCCATCCTTGTATCCCTGTTTGACAGATAAGGAAACAGATGTGCCCAAAGCCATGCAGGTAGCAAGTGGCAGTGCTGGCACTTGAGCCCAGGTCTTCAGACTCTGAGCCCAGCTCCTTCCTACCACCCCCTACTCCTGACAGTCTCTCTGGCTCATGGTTGGGCCTTGGTGCTCCTGGACCACTTGCCGGATGGAGTTGGAGAGGCCTCGAGCCCTCTGCTGGGGCTGTGTTGGGCATGTCATCCGTGCAGGCCAGAAAAGGGAGGTGCCAGGAACTTTCCAAGAGCAAGCTCTCACCACTCAAGTCCCCAGGACCTGCTGTCAATTTTTACATGCTTTCTCACAGCCAAGGGTGTTTAGGGATGTAGATTATTTAGAAAGATCCCAGATGGACCAAAATAACTAAAATACATTAGCAAAACAGTTACTGCTTCAAAGGGCACTTTTGCCTTACTCTAACTTTGTCTAAAATGCACGAAAGACTGCTTCCATCTCTTTAAAAAGAAAGGACCTACTTCTAAAACAGACTGATGAGGAAAAAATAGCAGTCCCCTGCTTATCATGGGTGAATGTAAAATCTTATTTTTCCTTGCCAAACTGTACCTAATGAAATAGAAATAGAAGGCAGTAAACCACCCTGTGGCCAATCTCCTTTTTAACACAAAGGCAACTACTTCTAACTCAAATCTGATAGATGACTTCCAAATGTCTTCTAAATACATGGTATTTTGAAGACTTCTACATTTCTTTTTCCAAGAGCTTTGCTGGGTCTAGATTATGTATTCCTATTTCTTGATTAGAGTTTGACCGAAAAAAGAGAAAAGGTTAAGTGCTGTCTTTTCAAGATGTATTTTACAGTGATAGCACATCATATATGACTTCTGCAGACTCCTAAGATCATTGTTTCTACAGGTAGAATTGGCAGTGACCCAAAGAGGGTGATGAGAAATAAACTGGCTATCAGTGAAAATGAGGAAAAATCTCAGTTAAATAGATTTGACACAAGAGCCACAAAAACGGGCTCGCTCACAAATGTCAAAGATCATAGTGATGGCTGAACAATGTTTCCTTCTGTTATACGTAAGCTGACTCGGTGGCAACTAACAACATTGCTAGCCCATTCATCAATAATGGATACTCATTCCCTGTGTGCCCTGTGTTGAGTCCTTTATGGGCATCGTTTTGTTTTGCCTTGTCCTTGCAACAGTCCTAAATAGCAGCTTCTGTTGTTAGGTCCATTTTACAGCTGAGAAGACTGAGGCTGAGAGAAGTGAAGCAGCTTACCTGTTGTCACAATGCTAATAAGTGACCACATGCAAACCCAGAGATAGTGACCACTGGGATGAAAGATCCCTGATGGTACCCTCTAATCTTAAAAAGTCCACTTGACCTTGATTAAAAAGACAAACAACAGGAGCTCTGGTAGCACAGTGCCTAAGGCATCTGACTGCTAACCAGAATGTTGGTGGTTCAAACCCACCAGCCACTCCATGGAAGACTGGCAGTCTACTTCCATTAAGATTTACTGCCTCGCAAACCCAATGGGGGTCGCTATGAGTTGGAATCAACTCAATGGCTAGTATTTCTAATTTGGAGATAGAAACACAGATGAACATATAAATGGAAACAAGGTTTAAATGGCTTCCCAGTGAATCTTCCTTTAACTTGGGAGAAGGAACATCAATAGAACCAAATCCTGCATTTTGCAAAGATCATCCCATCCACTAGATGTCGCTAAAAGGATTAAGAAAATAGAAAAAGGGCCACCAGTTTCTGCTCTTCCTTGTGATTGCACGAAAGAATAAATTGCATTTGTCAGGGTTTGCATGAATTATTTACCATAATCACCTAAATGTTTCTAAACTTTCAATAATCCAAAGTGCATTGTGCCCCTGAGATGTGGGTTCATTGAAGAAATACTTTTCAATGAAACTGAGGGAAAGAGAGCCAACCAACCGCCTGGGATTCCCATCATCTCTAAACCACCCAGTTAGTTTTTAAAACTGGAATCAGAAAGTGTCTTCTGATGTCAGCTTCATGCTTAGAGGGGGGAAAACAAAGCTCTTTCCTTTAAAAAATTGGTGCAACTGCAAGGAACATTTTGATATGTACACATGCCTCTATTCAAAAGACACGTTTTGCAGTTGGTAAAATTTACCAAAAATGAAATTTTGTGAGTACAAAAATCCTGGAGTTCCTAGAGAGGTGAGTCGTGTTCCTCAAGCCGCCTATACACTGTCAGCTGTGTTGGAGCCAGACTTGGAGTGAGTGCCAGGAGGGAACAGAGCCGCCTCATTACCCACTGTCATTGTGCCCAAGTACCCCCCCCCCCATCACCACACACACACACCGGGCCCATACAACCTGGGGATTGACAAGGGCAGAAGGCAGAAAGGCTTTCTGTTTCTGAGGAAATAATCCTTGCTCTTGGCAGCAGGGTTCTGCCCCGAATTATCCAGATGACTTCCTCAGCGCTCTTCCATGAGCCTCTTTAAATGACTATCTGAGATCAAACACAACTCCATGGCTCTAACTGGGACTAAACTGACAATAATAACTACTGTGTGTTTGTATACATGTGCACATGCATGCACACACACACATACCAGTCCTCTGCATATATCATTTTCATTTACTTCCCATGGCAACCTCATGAGGTAGGTAGGTAATACTATACCTGAGTTGCAGATGAGGGACAGAGAAGTGAGGCATATTCTCCAAGGTCACACCGCTATGAATGGTAGAGCTGGGATTTGAGATTAGCTCTGTCTGACTCCACAACCAGAGCTTTCCTCACTCCCCCTGGAGCTGGGCCTTCGTTTGGTATCCACTCAACATTCTGTTCCCCAGTTAGGAAGGGCTTCTTGCCTGTTCGTGGACAGGTTCTGTGTAGCTAGCCCTGGGAGCATAAACAGAAGCTGTTGATGACAGACAAATAGAAATGTGTATTTAAGGCAGTCCAGTGGCCAAGAAAGATTCATTGAGTACTCACAGTGAATGAGGCTTCAGATTGAGGGCCTCTGACAAAGGCAGGTGAGATGTTGCCTCTGCCTCGTGGAAGAGGGACCCACAGAGAAATGCCTGAATAGTCTTGGGGTTCAGCAGGGGCAGTTTTGTTCATTGGCTCAGTGGGCTTAGGGAGGGTTTCTTGGAGTAGATAACTGCATGTGGACATCGTAGGAGGGATTGGAATCTTCTAGACCAAAAGTGCAAGGTAATAGATAGGTAGCCCCAGTGAAGGACAAGGAGGATTTTCACCTGTATCTCCATTAAGAGCCCCTCCAGGACAGAGCCACTTCAGCCCTGGCCTCTGCTCCCAGCCTCCGTCCCCAGCATTTGGAGCTATCCATCCATGGATTTGTTTATCTGACAGAATTCCTCCCTGACATTCAGGGTCAGAATGTGGTCACAGCTGCAGTTAGCCCTGAAGAAAAACTGGCTTCCACTAAGGCAAAGAGAGAGAAAGACATAGGTAGCCATCTCCCTTTCTCACCAGAGAAAGAAACACGCGCGCACACACGCGCATACACACTCCCAGGGTGCCCATGGCTGTTGGTGCTCAGAAGGCTGGAAGCCCCAAGGGAACCCATCAGTACGGGCAGGCTCCCCTTTTGCTTCGGTGTGTCACTCAGGCTGTGTCATCAGGCACCTGCGTGGTCTGGCTTTCCTCTCATCAGAGGCAGCAGTGTGTGTGTGTGTGTGTTGGGTTGGGGGCGGGATGCTGGTCTGACATTTTCATTAGCAACCGCGGTGTTTAATTTTCCCTGCTAGGCGCCACCAGCTAGCACGTTATCTAGGGAGCTGGCCTTGGTGCCGCCTTAGAGCAAGCCACCTGAAGGCGCTGGGGAGGGAGGAGGGTCCTGGGGCCACTCCCAGCCGAGAAGAAAGGGAAACACTCAATGGCAAGGGTGAGGCCACCTTTTTCTTTGGATTTTCTTCTATTTATAACTGAGCCTGTTTTGTTTGCTTCTGGGGCCCCTGATATCAAAATAATATCACATGACCCTCCTGACAGGCAAAGCAATAAAACTGCTCATTAATCCCCGGTCCCCATCACCACCCCTCCTTGCTCCTCAGCAAAGGTGTGTAAATAGATTGGCCTTTCCCTGACCCCTACAGCCCAACCCAGCCTGCTGCTTTGTCAAACTCAGAGAATGAGTGTCTTAGAAACTCTCCCCATAGAAGCACTTTCCTTCTCCCTCCTTCATCCCACACCAATGCGAACCCCAACTCATACACA